ATCAATGTCGGGACCACAGCACTGCACGCAACGATGGGTTGACGATAAAGTATTGACAAAATCATCACCAGCAGCATACCCGCAACAGCAGCAGCACAGCATATCGCGCTTTGATATTAATAATCTGCCGTAAAAGCTGGTGATCGTTACGTTGCGCATGTCAAACAGTCCACGAAAGCTTTTCTTACGCTAGCACCAATACAAAAATCCATAAATAACCCACCCGCCCATCCACCCCCGACACAGCCCCCGCGACGAGAATGGCCGGTTGGCGTCAGCTTTCAAGTGTTTCAAGGTATTCTTTAGGTCTGGCTGCCAGATGCTGCCAGGTTTTGCTGTCGTCACAAACCCATTTCATGACGCTATCAAACAATGGCGTAATGGGGCCCAGTTTTACAAACTTTGAAATTTTGCTACTTTGCGTCGTTTTTGAGCCTTGAAAGTTTACCAATAGTTACAATTAAGCTTTTCCCATCATATCTGATGCCTAACTCATTCCTTTTAACCCGCGCCCGGCCGGGCGTCTGAGACAATCGCGTCCGGCCGCAGGACTGGTAAAAGTGTACTTTCTGTCGCCGACCGAATGTCTAGAGGCACAGTTGTCGCCAGCGAGGACAATGTTTATGCGATGCCATGTCACAAAAAAAAATGGTAATGCCCAGAAGCGTCTTCAGGAATCAACATATCGCCGAAAGCCTCTTTCATCACCACAATTTTCAATATGAGACACAACAACCAAAACACTCCATGCCACAATGTTCTCCAACTAATGTCAGGATAACTGCTGCTGCTAGGAAAACAGGCGCACCTGCCATATACTATGGGATAGCCAAATCACAACAGCAGTCTTCTTCCACTCTTGGGATTTGCCAGGGCCTTACATTTAAACTCAATCTACGGCTGACTGCTTTCCTCGACCGCGAAAAAGAAGATTACTAAGGACCCCGATAGCCAGGGCAGCATGATACGTGGGAGAGTTCTGACCGATGGTAGGCAGCGCTGTGGATGACGTTCAATATACAGACCTCCTCGAGGCCACGCCCTCTTATGAAAGTTACGTATGCGCTTGGAGCCTCATTTCGACCGTCATCAAAGTTACCACCATACCTTAGGCATGCTCCAAGCCTAGCGCGACATGTATTGCCTGGTGGGCGCCTTTCGCCGTCACTCAACAAGTAAATTGTGTTGAAATTCGTTGGGAGCCCTACATGAGGCTGCTAGTTCTTTATGAACAATATAGTCGTCCTGACAGGTGGGGAAAGGGGGAGGGGTGATGCTCCCCTCCCCTCCTAAGGATTTCTGAGGATACCAGTCCGGCATATTATGAAGTCTCGCTCAAATCTTTGGTAGGCTCTGGGGCATCCATTGCGCGTGAGTTAACACCAAAAACGTGTCCCTTGCAATTCTGGTCTCGTAGAAGCGATGTTTTTTACGGGCACTGCAAGACGGTCCGAGGCCAGCACGGGTGATGGGCGGCAAGCGACGATTTTGCGGACCGCGCGCGGAGGGCTGGCACTGTTACATTGACGAAGTCCTGCGTGTTAAATAAAGGCTCGAAACAAATAAAATTACGTACCACTGTATTCATAATCAAACCAGAAACACGACTCCTTCATGTCCAATGTCTGCACGCTGCATGGTTTCGTACACATGAACATGCAAAGCTGAAGTATTTTGATTTTCAGGAAAAATTGACATTAGACTTATTCTAGTGGCGCCAGTTAACAACAGGACTCAATGCCTTGTTCGCGAGTCTTTACCTTTCTTAGTTTACAAACGGAAGGTGATCGTTCCCCCTCCGCCTTATCAGTTCGCGTTATGGAAATCGACAAAGCAGGGTAAGGGTCAAAATTATTGGCTTTCAAACCTTTTTATTCATTTTACCTACGCTAGTGTAGAAATCCGTGTGTGAGATAATAATAACCGTCAGCTGGTACAGCAGAATCACATGTTTCGTTGCGAACATCCAAACATGAATAGAAAGTTAATCAGCAAGCCAAAATTGTCCTTCGCGTGCTAAGTAGCATGCAAATCTGAGGCTATATGTGATACTTTCCATGTATATTGCAAAGTGTTAATTCAAGCCAACTTCTGGGGCCTCAGCCAACTTCCATGTTGGGCTGGCCCCCTCAATGCTGATTCCTCCTCCTCCCAACACTTTTAGCTAGAATATAACAAAAATTGAGAAAAGGCCAACTATAATACAAAACCATCTCCTTTGGGCTTGATTCATTGACCATGACCTATGGGCTGCTACCCCACCCTAATTATGCATACAAATTGGCATTCGTGTCTTTATGCCACCACCACACAAACTAAATTGATTTCTACTATTAATGTAGGCTGATTACAAGGAAGGCTGTCTACTTTCACAACTTGCATTTAAGATATGCAGTGATTGTGCCAAGGATTCCACCAGGAACATGTTTCAATGCAATGTTAGTAAAAACAGCAATAAAATGTACCATATTTGCATGCACGCAAATATCATGCTCACAAGTGCGAAGAAACTATGCATATGACTGAACACTGCAGGACAAATCATTTCCAGAGCTTTCCTGTTGCGGTGGGGGTGCTCTCATCAGCAGTCAACATTGTCCTCAGAGACAACCAAGTGTCAATCTGTCACTGACCACAATACCACAAAACCTCGCCCTACCGCAGTAAAAGTCTTGGTTAAAGGGTGGATGGCAATTAAACCTGTACCCATCCTACCTCTCCCCTAATTGCTTACATTTGCTATAGCATCTCACTCCTCACTTTCCATTGCCTTCCCATTGTCTACATCATTAGCTGTCCAAATTTTCCAGCAACCAAGATTCATGTTAGCAAAATGTTGAACTGTTGATAATTGTTTAAATGCCGACAAAACACCGGTGAACTAATTACTTTACAAGCATGGGCATATATTTCTGAAGAAAGGTTGGGGGAGCAGCGACAAGATTTGCAATCTTCCCCTCAAAATATGGGTGTCCACCAGATTAGCACATTTCTTCACAAGCTTAAGCGGAGATGGAACCCTGAACTGAACAGGAAACTAGGCACTGCTCTGTTTTGTATATATATATATATATATATATATATATATATATATATATATATATACATATATATGTGACTGAAACCCATTGTCAATCAGGAAAAGAGCAAAAATGGCATAAATTGGCACTTTAGAGCCATTATCACCTCCTGCCACTCCCTCTCTTGGGGAGTGTCGTCACACTTCAATATCGAACCCACGGTTCAATTCAGAGGTAGGAACGCTGGTCACCTGTGACTGCTGCAGTGAGTCAAACGCCTTTTCTGTCTCTTGCAAAGGCGGTCTGTATCATCACAGGTCAATTTATACCTTGATCGGATCAGCTCGCCGACTTACTCTATATGATTTTGTCGTGGCTGTTACTTAAATTGTCGAGCAAAGGTATTTTTGGCACCAAGCTGCTTGTAAACGCATCCATTTTTGTCGCCGATCTCATCCAACAAGTCGGAAGAATTTACCACCCCTGCATGGCCGGAGAGGAAATTGACTTTCTCTGGGATCTCCAACTTCCAGACGTCGCATGAGCAAAACAAAGATACCGTTTCAAAAGTAACGTCAAATCAGAAAGAATGCACCGCAAATTTTTGGCCTCAGATCAAACGCAAGGTCACCAGGGGCCATGAAAGGTCAAAAACGGTCGTTTTGATGAATGCAGTTAAAACCTATGTTAACGCGTCAAGACACATATTGAGGGCACGGAAAAAAGCGTTAAGACCGACTGTGGGGAGTCTATTACGGCCAGTTCTGTCCCCCCACATGGACACCGTCAGATCAGGTCACCGTTCTAAGTTGATCTACCAAGAGCCTACAAGAACGATAGTTTTCTTTACAATGTGCTTCTGACTAAGTTTACTTTATGATATGTACCTGTGAGAAAAAGTATTCCAGACACAAAAATGTTGTTTTAGAGTGACCTAGAGGTCATCTGAAATCAACTTAGGTCAAATTTATGAACCATCCAAATTAAAAAAAATTTGAGCGCCAACCGGGTCTATGTGACCAGTACAACACTGGTTTAAGTCATAACTATTTTATTGGATACCTACAGGTACCCAATATCGCATAGTTGTTGCCTACATTATGCGTAGTCCCTTCGACGCTTGGCAATGCATTTGCAACAAACTGGGAACAGGTAAGCTGGCACATGAAATTAGACGTCATCGGCTTCACAAACACGGTAGGGAGGTGGTTACACGCGTCGCAGTCGTTCATCTAGCCCCTCCACTGAAGGAAACACAGGTAATTGACCTTCAATGACCTTATATGAACTTGCATGACCTATTGTAGCCTCATCATGCGTTATAGGTATATCTGAAAAATGCTTGCAATGGTGTATGCCAGTGCTGCGTCCAAAATTACCTAAGAAAACTGACTATCTGAGCTCAGCACGTGCTTTTCAGAAGGCTCCCACAGAAATAGGTCGTGACCTGGTTCAGGGTCATGTGTTCTGTGTTCATATGATGGTTGTGCATGCAAATCAGTAGTCTTTTTTCGCATACAACACCGAAAATTTAAAAAATACATAATACCAACTTACATTACTTTCGAAAAAATAGCGAAAAATAACATGGCTTCACGTCAATAAACGCACAATTTTTGAAAAATCTGAATAACAAAAATTGCAAGTTTTATTATGTCCTATTACTATACCAAGTTTTAACATTGGTGAATGACACAAAAGGTTTTGTGTGATCAAAATTTCTCAAAGATTCACCTCTTTGACCTGACCTAGGTGACTGATTTCAGTGGATCAAAACTTGAAATGCGCTTAAACGACGTTAAATTGAAAGATAAACAAATATTGGAAGTTTCGTGCGACTGCGAGCGTTCGTTTTTGACCTGTGCTCGAAAAATTTTAGGGGAAGTCAACTTCTCCCCACCGGTCGGGCGCGAGGTAAGCCCACAATGCTTATTATATCTACCATTCAGCGATGGGTATGTGTCTTACATCAATTCAAACCAGAGAAAGAGAAGTTGTTTATATACACCAATCAGACGCTGCGAACAGTTGTGCCTCAAAACGATCACCCTCCGCATTATGGTTAAGCCGCGTGTCACAAAAATCTGCCACCGTCACTCGCAAGCAGATAATAATATTTCTCAGCAATAATGGATCTGAATAACGCTTGGTCTAACCGCGACCACAGCTTCGACGTCGCACAACCCTAGTACCTCCAGCCAAGGAGCGCCAGACCTTCGTCATACGGGCGATAGACACGGCATTTCCTACTCCCCGTCTTATTTCCGAGCTTGTGACTATGTGCTCTCCGGACAGCGGTGCTCCCTCGCCGCAGCACGCCACCAGGCGAGGTCCCCACGCAGACCGTTGGACCTGGGCGCGCCGCGGCGGCTCGAGCCGCAACGGCGCGTCCAGGGAGCGTGCCGCGGCGCTCAACTACCGATGCACGGCTGCATGTAGCCGAACCAGTAGCTGTCGCAGAACTGCGCGTGGATGCTGTAGGGGCCGCAGTGGTGGATGCGGGCCTGCTCCTCACAGGAGCAGGGCGGCGCGTGGCCGACAAACTGCGTCTGGCAGTACCTGCAAACCCGAGAGATGTGAGCGAACCGTGGTGACCGAACAGGTGTGAGATATGACGGCGTGACAGAACGCAGGGCATCCTACATGACCTGCGAGCCTCGGGTTTTCAACTAAACGCGGCGTGACCCCGCTACTACGCTGGCGACCAGGACCGAGCGCCGCCTGGTCAGTCCGAGCCGCCGGGCTCAGGCGCTCACTTGGTTCCGTAGACTTCGAGCGTTTTGTTGGAGCACTCCCAGTCGTTCATGCAGTCGTAGAAGTTGCCACTTGGGGAGCCTGCGTCTATCCAGTATTGGATGGACATGCCGTACGGGCCGCAGTAGACGCCGTTCAGGCAGGTTCCCTTGGCCGGCATGCTACAGTTGCCGGCGCTGCCTGTGCGACCGCCCGAGTTCTGCCGAGGAACGTCAGGCCCTGTCGCGTCATGCCGGTACCAACAGGCCGCTACCGGCGTGCTCACGGCCACCACAAGCCTGCCTGCAGCCACTGGGCCGTGCACGGGAATGGTTCGAGGCTGGATATGTCAGTGTTCTCAGAAACTCAGGAGAAAATCAGCTGACAGTATGTACCCCAGAAGCTGGTGACCCCGATTATTCTCGCCAAGGGCACTTGATTTGGAATAACTCATGCCTATGAATTATGTGTCAGTTTACGATGAGCGTAATATCACCAAACAGGTTTAACGGCTCACAGATCAGGCAGTGTTTATAATTTTACCCAAAGAAACATTTTTCACTGTCACGTTGTTTCCCAAAATGGCAGTGTTCACGTTGCATACCTAAAATACAGTCGCGCGAGGTAGTCTACCATAGCAGCTCAAGTACTAAAATCGGTCACCAGGCACACTTGGTCATACTCACTTAACGACGAAAGCCACAACATGCCAGACAAACTGCCATAGATCATTCGAGTACGCACCAACAGACATCGCTACCATTACCTAACTTATTCAATACTGTCTACCGAGACAGAAATTGCCCCTATTTATTTAGCCCCTACTGGGGCAAAAGTCATGATTGTACCACACCCACCCACCAAGCCAGCGTTCATGCTTCTCTAAATCAAAGCCTGGACTCGCTCCCATCCCCGACACCCACGCAGGCGCACAATATGATCAGCAGTCACAACCAGGACGTCGATGAGCGGGGCGCCACATGAGATGGCATGCAGGCCGAGATTCCCACCGCGCAGATGCATTCCTTGCAGTGCTCTTCGATGGAGAGCACGCCCTGCTGCCACAGCAGGGCCACCACCACCAGCATCAGCGTCTTCAGCATGTCTTGGGCTCGGTGTTCACTCGTGTCGGGACGTGGCACTGTGTGGGATGAGGCCTCCGAGGCTGACCTTAAGTAGTGGCGCCCACCCTGTTGCCGGTGGGTGCGGCTCTCATGAGCGAACAGCTGTCGCCGGTCGCGCGGGGACTGACCGTGCTCACGGCTTGTGCGGTGGCCCACGCCTAGACGTCGGAAGCGAGGGGAGGGGCGGCCGCGCCCTCACGACACCGGTGGGTGCAAACACATGTCCTTGCCGCCCTTTCTCTGCACAAGCAACCCCTATAAATTGATCTCAGGCATAAGTCAGTTCGCTTGTCTAACACTGGAGCAAAATTTGTCCTCGTTCCACAAAGCTGGTCGTGACCATTCCAACCGCAGACACTTCACAGCGTCGCATTCCGCCGAGCGAAGAGACGGCTTCCTTCGCTGCGGTAGTGCCGCCTGTTGCGGGAGTATTGGAGGTTTCCATTTCCATTACTCGAGGTTTCCCTGTGGTCAATCCACCCGTTACCCATGGAGTTGTATCTATACAAGCCCGCTACTTCTCTCCATACAGATGCATCCTCGCGTTACGCGCTTGGTTGCATTTCTCCAGCAATTTAATTCAACATCATGAACCATTTTCAAAAAGGCTTACACTTAAGACTACCTTTTTGCACAAGTCCTTGTGAAAAGGATGTAAATGGAATTTATTATGATAAGAAGCGTGCACTCTTCTTGAACCATCCACGGGACATTTCGTAAACGTCTTACACATACCGTACCCATGCAAGTAGTTATCCCGAAATTTGTGCCCAATCACACCTGTTGCCCATTTTAGATCGGTACTTATAGGTATACCCCTTCCATGAAGTCCCCAACTGAAATGTTTTTAAGTGCTGTCAAACTGGCATTTAAAGAGGTGGAACAAATGAACTCAAACCCCCATAGGGTGCATCAATATGTCATGGCTCACGTGAAGAATAACGCTGCCTTTTTGACAGCGTAGCTAGTTAGTTTTTTTAAAAAAATGAGCCCATGACACATTGCATTTTATACCCACCCTTCATCAGATGTCGATACCTAAAACGTAGAATTTTATATCCACCCTTCATCTGATGTTTATACCTAAAACGTGGCATTTTATATCCACCCTTCATGTGATGTCTATACTTAAAACGCAGCATTTTATATCCACCCTTCATCCGATGTCTATTGCTGCGTTCGCAGTATTACTTACGGGACCTTTTGTAGTCCTCTTGGCCTGTCAAGGGGCGCCAAGCCATAGAATTGTCTAAACTTATTATCGGGAAGGAGCGCGGAATTTATGTTCTGAAAAATTTTCGACCCAACCAACCCCAAATACCTGAAATATCCACACTCCTGCCCTTCTGCCCTGCTCACTTCTGGTGTAGCCTTAAGGCCGAAGGCCGTAAGGCTATAGCCTAAAATGCTGATATAATGTAATTACCACCAGGTGGCGCTTGTCGTACGCTCTGGCCGTGTTAAGGCCAAGCTTTGTAGAGTTATTACTTCGCGAAAGAAAAATATCCTGTTGGCGGAAGGCAACCATATGAATCGGGATTATGCTTTTGGATTTTCTTAGGACATTTTACACACAAACTGTTTCGGGTGGCACCAATCGCCTCAATTGAACTTTCATAATTACCGTAGGATTTACATGACCACTGATGATCTTTCGATGATGAAGAAGTTGATATATTTTGAAAACAAACAGCCGAACGCCTTAAACTTTTTGTGTCAGGATAATGAGACTCCACGTTCTCCTTGTCTAGACATCTCTACATGCGAGTTGAGTCTAACCACGTCTAACCCTCAACGGGAAAACATTTTGCGATACATTTTACATACAGTTCGTGCGCACAAATCTACTAGCGTACTCGAGGAGAATTTAACCAATTGTGCTATGAGGAATCTGTTTCAGGTGTTCATTGCGACACCTGTGCTTAATGCGCCCTTCTCGTATTCTAATGCCCTACCTATTTCATGACCTCCATGCCCTAACCATGCTCACAAAACTGCGTGAAAGGTAGTGTGTACATACTGTGTGCATAGGGTACCTAACCTGCGCACAATCGCGCAGAAGTGATGGTGCGGTTTGTAGCGACTAC